CAAGGACAGTTGTGAGTAACATTCTTTTCATGTACACATACATGTATGTGCCATTTTAAAGTTACTATAATACTACTATACGCAGGGTAGTAGAATTAGAACTGGGACAGACAAACAAAATTATCCACATCAGGTCTTTCAGTTCTGTTAAATTTTCCTAGCGGTAGCTAATCTGATGTTGGCCGGGAAACGAAAGGCTGTGCGCCCGGTTATACTGATCGTGACAATGGGGTACTAGCTCTTAAACTTAAATTAAACTATATGACTTGACGTAGAATTTTGATAAAACGTACTCAATGACTTAAAGTCCGCGAAAACGAGTCGAGCACTACGTTGACTTAATAGTATCGAGGAAAATCCTTCAGATATTTTGTCGATAGAAGAGTATCAAAAGAATCAGCCATTATGATTTACACGAGAAGTGATCATGAATGGTTTAAGAATTCAGATTCGAGCTCAACAGGCGGAGGTCAGTGTGTATGAAGCTGATGGTTTCTTGGAAGAGAGCGTTTGCACATTCTTTGGAGACCTTGGTCGTCAAACTGTGTCAAATTTGCAAGAATGAAGTATAATTTGAGTTTCTCTGACTTTCCTCGTAACCTCATTATAGTATAAAAGACCAGAGATTTGCAGTGAACTCTCGCAAGTTCGGCTGAGCTGAAAATGCTTTTCACTGATCAGTATTAGATTACACTCGCTTATTTCTCGGAATCTCTAAATTAAGAGCAGCTATTTGTATTCATCATTGCTAATTAAGACTGTGTTTTTCGCTCTTTAGCTTTAAAGAAGAGCTGTTGAGCTACCCCAAGGCTACATTTTATATATTTCAGTAGAGAAAAGCGACGCTGACTGCGAACCGTTCGTGACAAATTCTCGTGACAAATTCTCGTGACAAACATCCACGATCTCTTTTTTTGGCATTATGTTTCAATCGCTATTTTGTCGTTGTGAGTTATAAAACAAGGGATTGATTAAGCTGGGAATGTCTTTCTCCTCTTTAGAGATGATAGGCCACGTTTAATTTGATATATTACTCCAAGGCTTTCAGGACAAACTTCTATATTTGGTGTTGTTTTCTTTGTATCCAAGTCTCTTTTGGGAATTGAGGGACAAAAGAAGCTTATAAGCAATTTTGTCCTGAAAGCCTCGGAGCTAAGCCCGAATAATTTTCTTAAACATCTCATTCTGAACAAATTACAACGTGGTAGCTGGACAAAAATATATGACTGAGGTACTGTCTGTGACAAAATTACGACTGAGGTAATGTCCATGAAAAAATAATCCTGAGGCAATGTCCATCATTAAATTCTCCTCCTAGGTATTCAGGGTAGTTATAATGACTATAAACAACAAAAACAAAACAAAACGACTGAGGCAAGAGCCTCAGTTTGCCTGTTACTAGCTCAGGCCCTGATTTATGGATAGCTAAGTTAAGATACTAGTAAACAAATATTGCATTGGCCAAATCTAAAGCACGAAACTGTGCTAGAAAGCGTCCAGTCGCGTTTATAACTTTCCATACATTTGCCAGAACGGCGAAAAGACCCTGGGTGAGTTGTGGCGAGCCTCGTGAAACGCTGATGTTATTTTAGACAGTCCAGAATTTGCGATTTTGGACATGACCCAGTATATTTCAGACCTTACCCTGGAGCGCCTGGCGAGTACATGGCTCGGGTAAACATAATTTGAGAAGTGCTTAAAGTTTTCGATCTTGATCAGAGTTAACTTATAATGATAAAATAGCTTCTTCTAAAACATACCCAATTGAAGACCAGAGTGCACAAACCATGCGCTGTTACAGATTAGAACGCTGGGCACAAATGCCGTACCCATTGGCGCCGGACATAAGATAGAACTCATGTAAGGGACCCCCCAACCCACCCCCACCCATCCCCATCCCCCCCCCCCGAAAAAAAACCGGGTTTGAAATTTCCCGGAATCACACCTGATGAAGTCAGGAAATCTTTTAAGGGAGCGTTAGCAAGATACCTTTGTCGTCGATGATTGAGCGTTCGAAACGCAGCAAACATAACATCAGCAGCGAATTGGCTTGTTTACGACTTTTGAATTTGCAGAACATCATAGGCAGTTGAAGTAAGTCTTTTTAAGTCCCGTTAATATACATATTCGCATTTGATTCGTACTTCACGGTTCCAGAATTGTAATTCAAAAAAACAAACAAAATCCATATCAGACATCAGTGTTGTTGCGTTTTCCTAGCTGCAGCTAGCGGGCGACTGAATGATTGCTAGGAAGCAGAGGACTGTGTGTCCGGTTAAGGGCTGCCTGGGAAACAATTGCGGAAACATTTTATTGTTGCGGGTAAAAACGTTCACAATTTAACCAGGCGGGAAACATGTAGCGGAAACCAATTTTGGTGCACGGAGCAAGACAATGGTTTTTACCTCAGGTCAAAGGCACTTCTGCTTCTCGGACGCAAATGTTGCCTCCGAAACATATGATTCCGAGGTTAGCCATCATGTTTTACTGATCGTGACTACGCGATTGCTCTTCAACTTCACGGCTTTGGGTTATGACAGATAAAACTGAAGTTCGTTAAGACGAGTGTCGAGGACTATGTTAACTTTATAGCATTACACGCAGTGTAGAAACTCGCTTTCTATTAATCGACGAAAATCCTCCAAATATGCTATTGCTTAAAAAGACAGAATAATATCAAACAATTAGTCATTGAATGAGGTAAATGGTTTAAGATCTCAGATCCGAGGTATTCAGCGGAGGTCAGAGACTAATGCGTGATTAAATTAAACTGATGGTCAAACAAACAGTTCGTTGCGCAGAAATGCACAGTAAAGTCGTTGTAGAAATGAAATAGAATTGCTTTCCAACCTTTTATGGCTATATAGAAATTGTTGAAATGCATTATGCCGCAAAAAGCAACTGTAGCTTGCTATAATTCGCTTGATCAGTTTTATGTTTGTGTAAAAAAAAAAAAAACAAAAAAAAAAAAAANAGGTAGACTGGCAAACAATTGACGAGGAAATCGCTCTTCAGCTTTGGGAGGATGTGTTCAAGCCGTTGTATACTTTTTGCTAACTGTATAAGTAATACAGACTGTTAAAACACATCCTTTATAATATAACTTAAAAGCATCATGTGTACATCACAATATTTTATTTAAATATGGCTATTTTGTTATTAATTTTATCTTCTGACTACCACCTGCCCAGTCGGTAAACATTAAGGATGTTTTGAATTCCACAGTGATCAAGTGCATTTCGCATTGCTTTCTCGCCACAACCTCTTAAATATTCGAAATCTCTCACTTTCATGACAAATTCACTGAAAAGTTATAAGCTTTTTACGTGGAATATGCAAAGAGAATTTGATGGTTGTCCACCTATGGTACTGTTAAGCCTCAAGCGTTTGATTTACCATGGTTCGCCTTCATTGACAAACTCTTATACTATACCGTCCATCTTGAATCTATACAAGCATCACCCTGAGCCTTAAATTAAGTGAAATTCAATTTCTGGTCATTTTACTTCCAACAATGAATAACATTTTGCAAAGAATAGAATTCCATTTTCGAGCCGTCATCATCTGAGACTTGAGAGGTACTTAGTGTAATGAATAGGATCTCAAATGGAGAAAGATAAGAGAAGGAGTTACTTCAGTTCTTTGAGCAAATCAATGATTTGTTTGTAAAATATTTTTGAAACAGTAGTAGACATACTGGAAAAGACATATGCTTGATCTTTTGCGATTCTATCACAACAATAGCCTCTTGATAACACAAGAGCTCTTTCTTTGTAGTAACTTGAATCTTATATCAGTCACAATTTGCAGCAAACACAATTGTGCAATTTGGTCTTTTTAAATCACGATTTGTATCAAGAAATTATGATCTAGATGATAGTCTCTTGCTTGAATTGATTAAAATACTTTTTTTTTCCACTCAAGTTCAGCCAAATGAAATTCCCTCTCCCATTTTCTCCGATTTTGGTAACCCTGGGAACACGGGTCATTCCAAACTGTATTAAGCACATGTTTCGTACAATTGACCGCTGGCACAGCGGGCTCAGAAACTAATAGAAATCACTGTTACATAACAGTATAACACACGTGTTCGACATAGCAGACACATAGCAGTTTTCACTTGAGGTGGAAGTAATTTGCATCATACCGTATTTGTTTTGGTTTTGCGTTACAATGCTGCGAGATTAGCTAAACCCGCGCCACTTTGTCAGCCAATTAGAAATAAAACCAAAACCAATTGCTGGTTTGAAAATTACACTGATTTTCTTTTATGTACTTTGACCTTACATAACTCCACTAAACGTAGAAAGTTTATTCCAATCACCAAACTCTTAGCTTAATCCAGTATTTCACATTATAATGATTATGCTTTCAACACTAGACCACTAAGTGAAATTGTCCTACATACATCGATATTCCTGCTCCCCCCCCTCCCGGGGGGGATAGACTCCCACATGAAAAGGACGAGAGTGCACGTCAAAAATTTTGAAAAGAACACCTAAGAGGTACCAAGGTCTTGTTTTGTGGGCGCAGCTTTTTTTTTTTCACCACCAAGAGGTACCAATTCTGAAACAACACATTATCTCCTGTCATGTTTATTTCTGCTCAACACCTCTAAAGGTACTGCAAAAGGTCCCGCTGTGAATCTTTTGAAGCTGACCACCTTATGATGTACAAAAACCAAAAGGTACTAAAAGGTACGACGAGAACCCCCGACCTTTCTATATAGGAGTCTTCCCCCCAAGAATTCTGGCTCTCTATTTCAAATGCTTGTCACTTCTGAGTACAGGCTGGAGCTTTTTCAGTTATATAATGTTTACTTTGTGATCTGCAAACCACTTCTTTTGAGCAGTTTCATGATATACCTGGCTCATTTTTTTTTTTTTTTTTTTTTTGGCGAAGAAGAACACTGATAAAATAAGCAACGAGAATTCCAAATATTTATCATGTCATAAAACAAGTCGTTTAATTCCAGCGCTGATGGATTTTCCTCGAGCTAAATATTGAAAAGAAGCAAGAATTGCAGTACCAAGAGTACTAAATGCACAAATCTTAATGAATGAGTGAGTCCGTTACACAAGGTAACTTTTCTCTCGATTATTACAACAACAACAACAACAACACTTTTATTTCACTCCAGAGTTAGAAATAATTTATTACAATGTTATAGATTAAAAACAGCAATAGTAGAGCTACCCGACAAGCAGAAACTTGACAAAGAAATGAGAGAATTCACAAGCGGCTGTCTTGAAAAACAACGCCGAAAAGACCCTGGGGACGAGGTGAGCTTTCTCGGGATTTCACTGCATGATGTCATGAAGGGAGCGTTTGCAAACTTGAAGAGATACCTTGATCGTTAATGCTGTTAATGATTGAGTGTTTGAGAAACAACAACCAGGGCATCCGCTGCGAATTGGCTTGTCTGTTAATCTTGAGTTTGTAGAAGAGCAAGGACAGTTGTAAGTAACATTCTTTTCATGTACACATACATGTATGTGCCATTTTAAAGTTACTATAATACTACTATACGCAGGGTAGTAGAATTAGAACTGGGACAGACAAACAAAATTATCCACATCAGGTCTTTCAGTTCTGTTAAATTTTCCTAGCGGTAGCTAATCTGATGTTGGCCGGGAAACGAAAGGCTGTGCGCCCGGTTATACTGATCGTGACAATGGGGTACTAGCTCTTAAACTTAAATTAAACTATATGACTTGACGTAGAATTTTGATAAAACGTACTCAATGACTTAAAGTCCGCGAAAACGAGTCGAGCACTACGTTGACTTAATAGTATCGAGGAAAATCCTTCAGATATTTTGTCGATAGAAGAGTATCAAAAGAATCAGCCATTATGATTTACACGAGAAGTGATCATGAATGGTTTAAGAATTCAGATTCGAGCTCAACAGGCGGAGGTCAGTGTGTATGAAGCTGATGGTTTCTTGGAAGAGAGCGTTTGCACATTCTTTGGAGACCTTGGTCGTCAAACTGTGTCAAATTTGCAAGAATGAAGTATAATTTGAGTTTCTCTGACTTTCCTCGTAACCTCATTATAGTATAAAAGACCAGAGATTTGCAGTGAACTCTCGCAAGTTCGGCTGAGCTGAAAATGCTTTTCACTGATCAGTATTAGATTACACTCGCTTATTTCTCGGAATCTCTAAATTAAGAGCAGCTATTTGTATTCATCATTGCTAATTAAGACTGTGTTTTTCGCTCTTTAGCTTTAAAGAAGAGCTGTTGAGCTACCCCAAGGCTACATTTTATATATTTCAGTAGAGAAAAGCGACGCTGACTGCGAACCGTTCGTGACAAATTCTCGTGACAAATTCTCGTGACAAACATCCACGATCTCTTTTTTTGGCATTATGTTTCAATCGCTATTTTGTCGTTGTGAGTTATAAAACAAGGGATTGATTAAGCTGGGAATGTCTTTCTCCTCTTTAGAGATGATAGGCCACGTTTAATTTGATATATTACTCCAAGGCTTTCAGGACAAACTTCTATATTTGGTGTTGTTTTCTTTGTATCCAAGTCTCTTTTGGGAATTGAGGGACAAAAGAAGCTTATAAGCAATTTTGTCCTGAAAGCCTCGGAGCTAAGCCCGAATAATTTTCTTAAACATCTCATTCTGAACAAATTACAACGTGGTAGCTGGACAAAAATATATGACTGAGGTACTGTCTGTGACAAAATTACGACTGAGGTAATGTCCATGAAAAAATAATCCTGAGGCAATGTCCATCATTAAATTCTCCTCCTAGGTATTCAGGGTAGTTATAATGACTATAAACAACAAAAACAAAACAAAACGACTGAGGCAAGAGCCTCAGTTTGCCTGTTACTAGCTCAGGCCCTGATTTATGGATAGCTAAGTTAAGATACTAGTAAACAAATATTGCATTGGCCAAATCTAAAGCACGAAACTGTGCTAGAAAGCGTCCAGTCGCGTTTATAACTTTCCATACATTTGCCAGAACGGCGAAAAGACCCTGGGTGAGTTGTGGCGAGCCTCGTGAAACGCTGATGTTATTTTAGACAGTCCAGAATTTGCGATTTTGGACATGACCCAGTATATTTCAGACCTTACCCTGGAGCGCCTGGCGAGTACATGGCTCGGGTAAACATAATTTGAGAAGTGCTTAAAGTTTTCGATCTTGATCAGAGTTAACTTATAATGATAAAATAGCTTCTTCTAAAACATACCCAATTGAAGACCAGAGTGCACAAACCATGCGCTGTTACAGATTAGAACGCTGGGCACAAATGCCGTACCCATTGGCGCCGGACATAAGATAGAACTCATGTAAGGGACCCCCCAACCCACCCCCACCCATCCCCATCCCCCCCCCCCNTCAGATTAGAACACCGGGCACAAATGCCGTACCCATTGGCGCCGCACGTAGGATAGAACTCACACTTTTACGCGAATGGAGTCTGACTGTGTGTTAACATCCCCCCCCCCCGAAAAAAAACCGGGTTTGAAATTTCCCGGAATCACACCTGATGAAGTCAGGAAATCTTTTAAGGGAGCGTTAGCAAGATACCTTTGTCGTCGATGATTGAGCGTTCGAAACGCAGCAAACATAACATCAGCAGCGAATTGGCTTGTTTACGACTTTTGAATTTGCAGAACATCATAGGCAGTTGAAGTAAGTCTTTTTAAGTCCCGTTAATATACATATTCGCATTTGATTCGTACTTCACGGTTCCAGAATTGTAATTCAAAAAAACAAACAAAATCCATATCAGACATCAGTGTTGTTGCGTTTTCCTAGCTGCAGCTAGCGGGCGACTGAATGATTGCTAGGAAGCAGAGGACTGTGTGTCCGGTTAAGGGCTGCCTGGGAAACAATTGCGGAAACATTTTATTGTTGCGGGTAAAAACGTTCACAATTTAACCAGGCGGGAAACATGTAGCGGAAACCAATTTTGGTGCACGGAGCAAGACAATGGTTTTTACCTCAGGTCAAAGGCACTTCTGCTTCTCGGACGCAAATGTTGCCTCCGAAACATATGATTCCGAGGTTAGCCATCATGTTTTACTGATCGTGACTACGCGATTGCTCTTCAACTTCACGGCTTTGGGTTATGACAGATAAAACTGAAGTTCGTTAAGACGAGTGTCGAGGACTATGTTAACTTTATAGCATTACACGCAGTGTAGAAACTCGCTTTCTATTAATCGACGAAAATCCTCCAAATATGCTATTGCTTAAAAAGACAGAATAATATCAAACAATTAGTCATTGAATGAGGTAAATGGTTTAAGATCTCAGATCCGAGGTATTCAGCGGAGGTCAGAGACTAATGCGTGATTAAATTAAACTGATGGTCAAACAAACAGTTCGTTGCGCAGAAATGCACAGTAAAGTCGTTGTAGAAATGAAATAGAATTGCTTTCCAACCTTTTATGGCTATATAGAAATTGTTGAAATGCATTATGCCGCAAAAAGCAACTGTAGCTTGCTATAATTCGCTTGATCAGTTTTATGTTTGTGTAAAAAAAAAAAAAACAAAAAAAAAAAAAAACAGTCTAGACATAAGCAGATATCTAAGGGCATATCCTAAGCGGGTCTATATGAATTTTAAATTTAACTCTGCTGTTTTGCCGTAAATTAAAATCTGAGTTTGTCTGGCTTTCCTCAGTACGTCATTATGGCTTGCAAGAACAGAGATTTGAAGGAAACTCTCCCACAGTTGGCTTAAAATGCACTTTTTCCTTGTCAACACTGATCGGTAACAGTATAGCCACCTTATTCAAACGTCAGTCAAGTTTCTCGGAATCTTTAAGTGCAGCTTATTATTCATCTGTGCTTTTGATCCTCTTGATTATTAAGTCTCTAATAGTAGCTGTAAGGCCTAAACTGAAAGCTGTTAGGTTACCGTTGCCTTACAATTTTATTTCTGTTGTTAGGAGAAAAAAAACCGTGATCTTTGTTGTCGTATGCGAGCAGTGACAAAGGTGCGTGAGAAACGTCCACAAAACTATTTCGTGTCCTGATCATACCGTTTATGTTTTAGCAGTTGTCGTTCATGTGGCAGGTTGCCAACATTCTTGAGCTTAAAACCTTGTGACAACAACCGAGTACTTGTTTTCAAACAGAAAGCTTTAGAGAAAAGACTGAGGACTTAAAATTCCCGGAACGAAATGCAATTTGTAGTTGCATAATAAAAGTGGATTCCCTGCGGAACGACAGCCGTTACGATGTCTGTAACATAACCACCATTTTTGTGTACGACTTCTGCGGGCTCTAAGCAGACTCAGTGGAAGAAAAAAAAACCAGTCCTAACTAAACGGCTAAACTAAGTGAATGATGAATAATAACACTTTTTCAGCGTCAAACCCTCACAAATTAATTTTTGCAACGGTTCGGCTAAGAGCCGCTGTCAAAGCTATCGATACATCGAACTCGCCCAACTTTATTGTATACCAAATAGTCTTCTTAAAGACTAAAGTAAACTCCAAAATTAAAATATTGCAGTTTTTATTCGACTCCAAACGCAAAAGACCAGCACATCGCCTTGGCAGCGATTTTTTGCCCGAAGGTCATTCCATCGATTTATAGACATCTTGTTTTTTTTCAGACGTCTTAAAGTTTGTAAGACGGGTTTACTAGAACTCATATCTCGTTCGCCACGGCTGGAGACTACTGTAAGTGATTGTGACAAAATAGGCACATGGAATAATTGTTAATTATCGTTTTGTATTTGTATAAAATAGGATTTTCATAGCCTATTTTATGTCTATTTTGCAAAGGAGCAGGTCATCATCACCTTTGGTACTCAAAAAATGTAGGCAAAACAGTCTATTTTATCTCGGTATTATAAAAGAACACTGGTGTAAGAATGCAACAAAGGATTAAATTAATATATTTTGCAGGCTGTTTTTCAGGATATTATGAAAAAATATTACAGAAATAAAATACCCCACTTTTTTTCTATCTTGTTTAAAAATAGATTTAAAGTTACTGGAAAACACATAAAAGAAATAGAAACAGAATAGGATTGTCTTTGTAAGGGTAAATTGTAACAATAGTTATTATGAATGGTTCTAATGTGTTCTAAATAATTATCAGCTGACAAGCATGTACAGTATTACATTGAACAAGGTATTAAGTCGTACCTGTTGGAAAGTGTGACAAACTGTAAAAGATCCTTCAATGAATCCTATTAAGATCTTTAAAAGATCCTCATCAAGGATCTTTAAGGAACCTAGCAAAGATTACTAAATTAAGATTATTAAATACCTTAAAGAACTTTCACAAAACGTCATTGAATCTTCAGGGATCTTGAAGGATCCTAGCAAAGATCCTGCTGAGATCTTACCAAGAATCTTTGCAAGATCTTGATCAGATCCTTGAAGATCTTGAAGGATCTTGTGTAAAGACCTTTGTAAGATCCTTCAAAAAATTCCTTAAAGATCTTTCAACGATCCTCATTGAATCCTCAAGGACCTTAAAGTATCCTAGCAAAGATCCTGTTAAGATCTTACCAAGGATCTTTGCAAGATCTTGATCAAATCTTTAAAGATCTTGAAGGATCCTAGCAAAGATCTTTGCAAGATCCTTCAAAAGACTCTTTAAAGAATTTTGAAAGATCTTCACTGAATCCTCAAGGATCTAGAAGGATCCTGGCAAAGATCCTGGAAAGATCTTTACATCAAAGATCTTTGAATATCTTTCAAAGATCCTTAAAGGATCCTTAAAAGATCTTTATCTTTAAGGATCTTTGGCAGGTCCTTGAAGACCTTAAAGATCCTGTGAGGATTTTCACTAGGGATGCTCCAAACAACTGATTTTTCAGCCAGTGAGCGGTTTTTCCGCCGTGCCTGTATAATTTATAAGCCGGGTTTACTAGAACTCATATCCCGTTCGCCGCGGTTGGAGACTTCTGTAAATGATTTTAAAAAAATAGGCACATGGAATAACTGTTAATTATCGTTTTGTATTTCAGAGTTGATTGAAAACAAGTCAGTATAACAGCCACCTGTCGGTGTGGGCACCGTTTTGGAGCCATTTACAGCTATGCTTGCAAAGCTGTGGATATTTTCGCTCTTCTGTTTGACCTATGGAAGTTGTGCCAACTTGAGAAAATCTTTCCAGGAAGTGAACGGCACTATCATCGGTAACCGCACCTTCAATCCCGCAGATGGTCCATACCTGGTGACGAGTGACTTGGTTGTTGCCCACAATGCAACTCTTACCATAGAAGCAGGGAGTGAAGTGCTTTTCGTTCCAACAGTAGGGCTTCGTGTTCACGGATCTTTACACGCAAGGGGAACGCATTCAAATAGAATAACGTTCCGTGCACTTCCTTGTAATGAAACAGTTCTTTGCAATAACACCAACCTAGGCAGATTCTACAATCCTGGGATTAGGCTTGTAGGTGGCACCTCTCCCAGCAACGGTCGCTTGGAGATAAAGTGGAACGGACAGTGGGGAACTATCTGTAACTACTGGAGTTATTGGGATTACAGAGAAACTGCAGTGGCTTGTAGACAACTTGGCTTCCTCGGAGCTAAGAGGCATTACACATATCCCGGAAGTGGCCCCGTCTACATGAAATATGTAAGCTGCAATGGAAAGGAAGAAAGTCTCTGGGATTGTGGCTACAGATGGCGTTCGTGCTGTGAGTTATCTTTAGTCTTAACCTTTAGGAACTGGTGTTGATATTTGCATTCAAACGCCACATGATCTTTCCCTAACATGAAGAAACTCAAAAAGTTAAGAAATATTTGCCTCATTCAGTTTGTCGTTGCTACATGTTTGAAGCTTTACGAAATAAACGTGGTGCTCACAGAACAGCTCACGTTCGAAGTCAAATATTAAACACGTAAATAAATTGCTGTGTTCTTTTTCTTCAGCCTCGAAATGGTGATATACCGAATAAGGTCTTTCCCTTCGTGAACGGTTAGTAGACCAATTTCGACATATTAAAATTCAGCCTAAAACAATAGACCTCAGTACGAGGCTCTGGGGGAAAACTACAGAGTGTGTGTGGTTTGTTCCCCAGAGCCTCGTGCTGAGGTCTATCGTGTAAGGCTGAATTTTAATATGTCGAAACTGGTCTTTTGAATGGACAACCTCCCTCTTAGATTGATGATCTGTTCTTATAAAAGTTCATACAATGTCCATTCTTTGACATAATATTAATCTTCCACAAGTTCTGATTACAGCCACCTAGACTGAGTTATGAATACTAAACCTACAATATTGGTGAGGTACAGTAAAATGAACATAAACCAAGGTTATAGCTCATAACGAGATTAATTGGTTTTCTAGTTAGTCCAATGTTTTCTCTCAGAGCGCTCCCGATGTCATAACCTTTGTTTGACCGAAATATATTAAAAAAATATCTGTATCATTAGTTTGGCTTTTAGAAATATGGTTTATTTATATCATTTAATGAAAAGAAACTTACTTTCGAATCTTCACTAATCGGATATTTTTTCTGTTTTTCTTATTACATTGTTTGAAAAACGATGATCTTCGACCCTGGCAGATCATTCCTATGACGTTGGAATTGAGTGTGACACCCTGATGCCTTTGTTGACGGAAACGGTTTACTGGAAAGGTATTTACTTCACTCCGACGAATTTCACCAAGAAGCAAGGGAACTCATCCTTGGAGAATGCAGACATAGTGAATGCTTTTGAGGGGATCAAAGCACTTAAGAAGGCACCAGATTTACTAAATGTTACGATTAGAGATGGAGCTTCAGGCCTGCTGGTGAAAGAACTTGAAAATCATCCAGTGATAGTTGATACGACCGTCTTGCGATCACTGTTGGCTGGTGTAAATATTGAGAGTTCTGGAGGGCTTGTCGTAATTGAAAATACCACCGTACAGAATACAAGCTTTGGAGATGGACTTGTTTACAACCGGACTCTAGATGCGGTGGATTTCTGTTCAATTGTTCCAGACGAGGCTTCTATACCTTTTGTTCTAAAGGCAACAGGGAAAGCTTTGACGGTTAACTGCAGCAAGGTGAGAATACAATGCAAGAGTCATTATTTGCTATTTCAGACTGCGTCTGTCATCAAACTACAGAAATGTTTACGTTAATTAGTCTAAAACCGTGGTTAAGCGAGTTTTGCTATGAGCTGCAACAAAGGTAAGGTAATGACGTAATTCTTTGTTTATAGTGATAACACCGCTTAACTGAAAAGCTCCTTCGCAGGAAGCTCACTTTAAAATAACATAAATATACATTAATTAATAATTAATTAAGTAATAGAAAACATGTACCGTGTTACTATCGAGTCATGATAGAAACGCGCGGTGAGAGTTTGAGATAACGAGAAATGCTGTGGGAACACGAGCCGACAGGCGAGTGTTTTCACAGTTTACTTCGATCATCAAAATGTAAATTGTCTTTGCTCGCGCCATCAATACGTCATCAGCTCGTGCTAGTTCGGTGTTTCTGTCGAGTTATAACAACACGGTTTTAAATCAATCCGCGCGCGTATTTGCTTTGGGCTATTTCCTAAACAAGTTTGTTTGACAAACAAAGAAACACAAAAAACAAGCAATTAAACAATCAAACACAAAAACAAACAGACAAACAGACTCCCAAATAAACTTACAAAAAAAAAAACAAAAAAACACACAACCAAATAAATTAACAGACAGACCAACAAACTCACAAACTCACAAACAAACAAATAGAGACAAAAAAACGAAGAAACAAACACAAAACAAATAACAAATGCACAAAAAACAACAAACAAAGAAACTCACAAACAAGCAAACAGACTAAAAATCAAACAAACAGGCCACAAAAAAAAAAAAAAACAGACTGACAAACAAACAGACTCATAAAGAAACAAACTCAGACCCACAAGCAAACAAAAAGATTCACAAACAAGCAAACAGACTCAAAAAGAAAAAAAAAAATGAGACTCACAAACGAGCAGACTCGAAAACAAGCAAACAGACTCACAAAAATGCAAAAAGACTCACAATCAAAGAGATTCATAAACAAGCAGACTCGAAAGCAAGCGAACAGACTCACGAGCAACATACTCATAAACAAACGGACTCACAAACAAACAGAGTCACAAACAAAAAAACAGACTCGCAAAAAAGCAAACAAACAGAGCTACAAACAAGCAAACTGAAGCAAACAAACAGACTCACAAATAATCACAAAACAAGACGAGACAAGACAAGGCAATTTATTTCGACACGGTATCTCTTCAGTTACAAAGAATTGGTTTCCAAGAAAGCCGTCCTAAGAATTAGTAGAAACAATACAATTACAAAATTTCACGGTAGAAGAGAATTACTAGTGTTATTTGCTATTGTGGAGACCGAGTGTGCAAGGAGATTTACGAAATGACTACCTTAAGAGACTGTTCTGCTTTCATCGAATTTGGAAGAGAATTCCATAGTTTAGCACCACGCCTATGAAAAACTCTTTTTTAAGCTTTCAGTTTTGGGTTTCTGCAATGCCAAATTGTGGCTACAGTCTCTGAGATAGTAACCAGTGTTGTTTCGAATCAGGTTAAAGACCTCAGTAAGGTACTCAGGAGCTTTGTTGTGCATATTTTTTTGCATTATGATGGCATTATGATGTTGATGTCAAACTTCAAGAGTATGCCAGTGAAGGATTCTCAAAATGCCGGCAGATCTAATTTCCCAGTCACTTTGAGTAATGATCCGTGCTGCCTGACTGTAGAGTTTATCAAGTCTGTCTGAAGGGCCCTTGTTTAAACCCGACCAGACAACATCAGAAAAATCGAAGTAGGAAGAACCAACGATTTAAATTTTAATTAAGACTTCTTTCGGGACAAAAGGTCTAACCAGTTTTCATACAGCAATTCAGTGCCTGAAGATATCTTCTTAGCAATGTGGTCAATGTGATTCAAACGATAGATGATCGTCAATGTGAGCGCCTAGAGATTTGGGTGCTTTTACTCTCTTTATGAGATCATATCCCAGTCTTATTCGGAGAGAAAATTTCCGTTGGGCCGCTTTTTGCTAAAAGCGAATTAATACACACTCGGTCTTAACTACCTTTAAACTTAACTTGTTGGCAATAAGCCACTGCCAAATATTTCCTAATTCATTATTAACCAAATTTTTTAACTCTCTAAAGCAAGTTGCTGTAACAAACAGACTTACAAACAAAAAAACAAACAAACACAAAAATCACAAACAAACAAACAGACCCAAAATAAACAGACTCAAAAACAAACAAACACACCCACAACAAACAGAATCGCAAACAAGGAAACAGACTCACAATCAAAGAAACAGAGTCACAAAGAAACAGAAAGACTCACAAACAAACAAAAACAGGCATAAACAAAGACACATACAAAACAGACACTCAAAAACAAGTAAATAAACTCACAAAAAACAGTCACAAACAAACAGTCACAAACTAACAAACAGACCCACAAACAAACAAACAAATAAACAAAAAGACTCACAATTAAACAAACTGACTCACAGAGGAACAAACTGACTCACAAATAAAAAAAACTGACTCACAAATAAACACACTCAAAAAGAAAAAAACAGAAACACAAGAGAGTCACAAACCAACAAACAGAGTCCCAAACAAACAGACAGACTCAGAAACAAGCAAATAGACTCACAAACAAACAAGTAGACTCAGAAACAAACAGAGTCAGAAATAAACAGACAGACAGAAAAAACAGAATCACAAAAAACGGACTCGCACAAACAAGCGAACAGACTCACAATCAAACAAACAGACCCAAAAACAAAGAAGCAGACTCACAGAGCAACTAACAGACTCAAAAATAAAGAAAAAGAGTTATAAACAAACAAACAGACTCACAAACAAAAAGACCCCAAACAAATACACACACAATTAAACAACTAGACTCACAAACAAACAAACAAAGAAACAAACAAACTCACAAACAAACAGACTCACTAGCCAACAAACTGTCACAAACAAAGTAAGAGTCACGAACAAACGGACTCACAAATAAAAAAAAAACAAACGAAATCACAAACAAACAAACAGACCCACAACAAACAGACTCAAAACAAGCAAAAAGACTCACAATCAAACCGAACCAAAACATACAGAGTCGCAGACAAGCTAATAAACTCACAAACAAACAAACAGACTAACAAACAAAAAAACAGTCACGAACAAAAAAAGGCTTAAACAAACAGACACACAAACAAACAAATAGACTCAAAAAAATTAAGCGGCTCACAAACAAACAGACTCGCAAACAAACAAACATACCGACAACAAACAGACTCACAAACAAACAAACTGACTCACAAACAAACCGACTGACACACAAATAAACAGACTCAAAAAGAAACAAACAGACTCACAACACAGTCACAAAAAAACAGACTCACAATCAAAGAAACAGACTCAAAAACAAACAAACACAGTCACAAACAAACGGCCACACTCTCAAAGAAACAGACTCACAATCAAAGAAACAGACTCAAAAACAAACAAACACAGTCACAAACAAACAGACAGACTCTCAAACAAACAGACTCACAAAAAAGGAAAATAGAACCAGAACAAAGACTCACAATTAAGCAAAGAGACTCAAAAACAAACAAACACAGTCACAATTTAACATACCGACTCGCAAAAAAACAGACCCACAAAGAAACAAACAGAATTACAATAAACAGACTCAAACAAACAAATAGACTTACAAATAAACAAACAGAGTTACAAACAAACAAACAGACTTACAAACAAACTGATTTACAAATAAACAGTCTCAAAAAGTAACAGACTCACAAACAAACAAACAGACTCACAACAAAAAGAGGCACAAACAAACAAAGACTCACAAAAAACAAACGGACGCACAAACAAACAAGCAGACTTACAGACAGACCCACAAACAAACAAAAAAACAAAGTCACAAACAAACAGACAAACTAACGAAGAAACAGACTCATAAACAAACAGACTCGCACAAACAAGCAAAAAGACTCACAATCAAACAAACACAAAAAAAATGATTCACAAATAGACGGACTCAAAAAGAAACAAATAAACTCACAAACAAACAAACAGAATCAAAACAAAACAGGGTCACAAACAAACAGACGGACTCACAAAGAAGCAAATAGACTCACAAACAAACAAACAGACACAAGCAAACAAACAAAGAAACAAACCAACAGACAGACTTACAAACAAAGAGCATCACAAACAAACAGACTCGCACAAAGAAGCAAATAGACTCAAAAACAAATAAACAGACTCACAAGGAAACAAAAAGACTCGCTAACAAACGAACAGACTCACAAACAAGCAAAGAGATTAAAAAAAAACAGACGCACAAGGAAACAAACAAACTAACCTAAGAAGGGGAGGGAAAGGGTCAAAATGAGCGCGGAGGATACAGCACGCTTCGAGGAGGAACGGCCTGCAAGGACGCTATTGTTCTTCGTTTTTTTCGTCCACCAGACGAACTTAAAATCCTGATTGGTCAGATTTAATGAATTACTCAATCCGTCGTTCTGATTAGTCAGCGACCTGTCTTCACCACTCCCTGCTATCGGCAACTGATGAGATCCAGACGGATTGGAAACCGCGGTATTGCCTGAACGACAAGGCTACGAGCCTCCTAACAAAAGTAATAATAATAAAACTCAATTTTCAATATTTACAATGAGGAATATGGTTAGTACAGTGGAACCTCGATTTAACGAACCTCTATATAACAAGGTCCTCAGTATAACGAACGATTTTCATGGCACTGCGCTTATCAAGAGAATCAAACGAACTTTTTTTGGGAGCTGCTACTGTAATATCAAGGCCAGAGATTATCGAAGTCTCAATTGCAGGCAAACATATTTTTGCATCAAAACAAGTCTGAAAATCACGTTTATGTTGAAAATGTTTCTTTTTTTTTAGTGTTGTCATTTTATCACATCACTGTAGTTTACTACATTTGTGTACACTGCATTTAATTAGGATACCCTAAAACCCCAAGGGTGACACCACTACCTTGCTGGTTTTTCGGGGATCTCTTTTCCGGCTTTGGTGCACTTAGTTTTCGAATCTTAGAAACGTCTGGTAAGTATTGACACTGATTAAATGGGACAGTGACTTCGCTGTCCAACCCACCCAATTTAATCACCATGTGTGTCCGGATGAATAGTGGGGGCAAAATCTTTCTCATTCACACAAAGAATAAACCAGAACCAGCAAGGGTAGATCAAGGAAGTAGATC